CAACTAGCTATATTTGGCTACGTGGTCTCAAAGGATGGAATACTTCCAGACCCTGACAAACTTCGTGCAATCACCGAGTTTCCGTGGGCTGGTGCTCTTATTTTAGCCACTTCGTGCGCAACAGTGCATCGATAGTAACAACACTGATAAAACGACTCGCTGGCTCTGCTGACCTTTCCAAATGAACTCAAGCATGTGACGACGCCTTCAACACACTGCGTCGCCTGCTTATGTCACTACCGATTCTGCACCACTACGACAAATCTGCTTCAACCGAAGTTCACACTGACACTAGCAGCATTGGTCTTGGCGCAGTACTCGCTCAGCGTAAGCCCGGGATTCAGGAATACCTCGTCGCATAACCTAGCCACGCCCTTAGAAAAGCTGAACCGGTCACCGTGAAAGAGTGCCTCGCCATTGCTTGGGCATTAAGCAAGTTTCATTCTTACTTGTACAGACAGACGTTTGACGTGGTAACTGACCATCACGCCCTTTGTTATCATCTCTGAAAAATCAACTGATCATCTTGGACATTGAGCTCCTCACCCTTAAGAATTTTGACATTCGCGTCGTCTACCGATCTGGCCAAAAACATGACGATGCCGTCCCGACTTCCCTATCACTGCCCTTTCCGTCACAAGAATGTCAAGCGAGCAGCGAAAAGACCTGTAGGTGGCCTCTTTCTTACACCTCCTTTCGGACACTTCCAAGTCTGCGTACTTAACTGCTCTTCCTCGCCAACCAGCAGATTTTGTGATAAGAGACGCACTATAATAAAGAATAAACTGCCAAGCAGACAGTCACAAATGCCTCTTGGTGATACGAAAACACATGCGATCTGACGCATGTGCGTATTTTCATGCTGATCCGCAACATGCTCACGCTGGTTCATTGAAGACAAACGAACAACTCCGCCAGCGTTACTACTTGCGTGGCATGCACACCTCCGTCCAGAAATATATTCAATTCTGTCCACTGTGCCAACAACACAACTCAATTGCCCATTCACATGGATTGCTGCAGCCTCTACCATGCCCTGCACGCGCTTTCGATTGTATTGGCATCGATCTATATGAACTGCTCCCTTACACACTGGCTGGTAATCGATGGGTAATCATTGCCATGAAACACCTCACGAGATACGTGGAAACAGCTTTGCTACCTTTTGCTGCTGCTCAAGGTGTAGGCAATTTCATCCTATGATGATTCATACTATGTCATGGTGCACCACGCGAACTACTCAGCGATAGAGGGTGTGTGTTTCTATCTGAAGTTCTTCAAGAACTCCTTTAAGCGTGCTGCACGGTTCACCACACATTTACAGCCTACCACCCGCAGACAAACGGTCTGAGCGCTTCAATTATACCCTGGGAGACATGCTCGCGATGTACGTCAATTCTGACCAGTCAAACTGGAATGCGATGCTCCCGTTTGCAACACAGTCAACAACAGGCTTTTCATTTTTTTTTTTTCTTCTATATGGCTGTGAACCATGCCCCACTTTTAATACCATTTTGCCATATCGCCCGGACGCTTTCGAATAAGCCCCATTTCTGAAATTATACAGCACGCAGAAGAGCGGCATCAGTAGGTGCATTCATTCACCTCGAACAAACAATCCAACGAAAAAGAAACGCCACGATCGCGACCAGCAAGTCCTGACTTACACTGTGGGATTACTCGTCTTGCCACTCCTCTGGCTTGTCATCTTAAGTTTGCTCCAAAGTATCAGGGTCCTTACCATGTCGTGGAACGCCGCTCACACATATGTAATTGAGCCCGTCAAGCCATCAACAGACAGGCGCTGCCTTGGACGCGAGACAGTGCACGTCAGTTGCGCCATCAACAGACAGGCGCTGCCTTGGTCGCGAGACAGTGCATGTCAGTCGCCTCAAGCCATATCACAATCCCTTTCTTCGGTTGTCAGAATGACTCGCCTGGATGGCTCCCCTTAGTCGCAAAGATTTTGTAAGGAAGAAAAAGAGCGATATGCTGTAGTGGGCCAGGACCTTAACCTTAAGAGCCGAGCACGAGCTGCTGTGACTGCGATTCGTGTGCCAGTTGTCGCCACCCGCTCTCAGCGTCTATAAGCCTCCTGCTCAAGTGTTGTACTACTTGTACCAATAAACCCCTTTTCAAACTGAAGAAGTGATCGCCGCTGTAGATGAGTAATTTTCAGAACTTCCACAGTCATTTTAAGGACGGAATCCAGGCTCTGGAATATCGATGAACCAAGTGTGTAGAGTTGAAAGGAGACTATGTTAAAAAAAATAATTTTGAAGGTCCAAAATGCTTTTTTCTATATCAGGCTGAGAACTTTTCAGACCACCTTAGTATGCCACAGCTCTTTCACTGTAGTACAATGTAGAATATAACAATAAATGAACAAATGTGTATAGCTTTCTGCATGACATCTGTCAATCATAATTGGCTGAATGCAGTTGAATTTTAAGTTAAACACGTATACTTGTGCACACAACCAATGACAGTCACATAAAGGCAGTTTGGGCTCACAAGCCAAGCTATAAATCATGTTAAGAATATAATGAGAACCATTCCTGGGCTTGTGAACACAATATGCTAATAGCGCAATATACAGTGAAACTCTATACCATAACAAAGTCATATTGGCAACCGCTAACTGTATTATTGATCAAATTTCATCAAGACAAGACTCCAATTTTTTGATAGCAAATAACCCGCGCAGGTTTTGTAAATAGTCGTGCATCTCACTAGTAGGCACCTAAGTGTGGCTGCCATGACGAAATGCAAAGCGCGGTAGCGGTAACTGTGGGCTTTCGCGCACGAAGAGCGCACACTGACGATGCAGGCGAGCATTTAAAAACCATAAGAACGAAATGGTGGCACCAAGGATTACTCATGTTTCGCGTCTTTTCCCTATGCGTGTGTGGCATTCTTGCGGCAATCTGCTACTGGGCAATCTCCTAACTGCCTAACCAGCGCTGCTTTAATGAAACTCGGATCTGCTGCTGCGTAGAACCCTAGCCAATTGTGTGCAGTGCGTTGCCTACTACGCTTTAGCCGTTCCAAAGGGCTTGGAAAACCGTAAGTACACGTGCAATTGTCGTGGGAGCATGCGCAACGCGGGTTTCTGTGCTCCAGAATATTCTGACCCGATTTGACCATGCTCTGGTGCTACGCATATCTTGGGGCAATGCGGTGTCGGCAGTGTCACTTTCACTCCCACCGACGAGGCACGCATGAAGCGGAGCAGCAGAAAACGGCGGTGCGTTTGAGTTGCCGCCTATTAGAAGCGTGCAGTATGCGTTGCAATGGCTATACACCAAATGCGCCACGCAGCACATCGCTGAAGATGTTTGCTGCAATAAGACTGTCGGCGGTAAGTTGTATTCAAGCTTTCACCGATCACCGGCGTCACGTGTCCGCGCACTTTCAACGCTTAACTACAGAGGCATCGCGTCATCGTAATGGCGTCATGAATCGTAATAATTAAGCAGCCTGCTTGATCGCAAAAGTAAAGTGTAGCATCAGTCACACTGCGAGCTGAGGAGCGCACTTTCGTGCAAGAAGAGAAAAAACATGACGGCACAGTTCGTTTCGTTACCTTCGCTCGACGGCGTCTTTCTGTGCCTCCCATCGGTAACGTGAACACGCGAAAGATAGCCCGCAAAAGAGATTTTCTCTCCATCATTTCTTAGGAATACTTTATTTGTCAAAAAGACTAGGTGCACATATGCAATGCACGAGGATTTTATTGTGCTGAATCTACAGCGCAATGTTACTTCGCTAAATCACGAGGAAGACATACGTGGATTTCAATGGAGCTGGGAAACAAAAACAGTTCGTTACATGGCGGCCATTGTCAAATCGAGGTGCGTTATATCGCTGTTTGACTGTATTGTGGTCACTATAAATAGACACAAATGCCTGTGCATGCTCAAGTGCACCTAGCCTAGACAGTGGGAAAGGAGCTGTATGGTCAGACTGTTCCCGACTTGCTCAGACCTGCAGTGCCTTTCTGCATGCACATATGTAAGTTAAAATATGATAACATACAGTACATTTATTGTTGCTTTTTGTCACTTAACATTCATTTGAGATTAGTTTTACCTCTTCAAGGCGGCTGTGGGGATTCCGTGGCATATACCATATCTAAACTCGAGAATCTAAACGGGTCGCTAGGGGAGAGAGATCTTACTTTGAAGATGTGTAGCTTTCTGACAAAAACCTTTCAGCGTGCCAAGAAGCGCATTGTTCTTCCAAAGAGGGCGAGCTCTTGAAAATGCTCATGTTATCATTCCAGGTGCATAAGTTGAAAACATCTATGCAGTTTTGAATGCTGCGGACTGCAATAAAACGAGAAAACACGTCCCCCGCGATGTCTTTCTTTTTTTTTTTTTTGTCTTAACAATAATGGGTGAACACAAAAGGTCCAGCTTTTCCCCCCTTTTTTGTTTTTGCTAGAAGCTCCGTTTATTTTTAAAAACTACACATCTGCCGTGCGGTAGTGAAATCGTGTAAGAGTGACTTCAGATACCGTTAGCTCACATATAAGCACTTCTAACAGCAATTGATATGTTCTTCCTTGAGCAAAACAAAATATCCAAGCTATAAGGTTAAATAGGTATAAAGCATTAAGAAAATGGCGCCGTGGCTTCCATGCAAAAAATAATGTGCAAGAGACAAGTCATATGCAGCTAGAACTATCTGTATTTTGATGACAGAAGGGTGCTACCATTGGTTGGGCACATGTTCACCGCAGAGAAGCGCACAAGCAAATCAGCATAAAGTTCTATATAAGTACCTTTGTTTAACACAGTAGGTGTAGCCAGTTATTTGTATTGGAAACGTACAATCCCGGAAGATGACATAAGGCATCAGCGTTCTAGTGGGTCAGCTAGTATACAAGAGCAGGTTCTTAATTGATGGTCATAGAAGTTTGAGCAAATACTGAGTGCACTATTTCGATTTCTGCCGAGAGCGGCCCGGTGGGATGGAGCCAGGAGGCTGCGCCCTACCTCTTTCCTGGTCTCGTAGTCGAGCGGGCCTGCCACGTAGATGGCGCCAGTCTCATTTTTCACCGCAAACGCTCCTCCTATGTTCCCCTGGGTGATCTCGTAGCGTATCCTCGAGGCTGCGAATAGAGACAGCGACCATTGCGGAAATTCGCCAACACCTTCTAAGGCCTCCACCGGCTCAGAGTACGGAAGCGCCAAATGCAAGTACAGTGACCTGTTCGCTAACATACATACACAGTTTTTACTCATCTTCAGCATTATTACCAGCCTTATCTGCATTCACGTTTGAGTGAACTACTCAAGCATGAATGCAGATAACGTGAATGCAGACGTTTGAGTAGACGTCTACTAAAACGTATTCCAAAGCATCGTCTTTCATACAATGTTTCAATATTTATTGATCAGAGACGCGAATTGAATATGTTGTCATCTCGTTTAAGAAAAATGACCTTACTGGTTTAAGAGCACTCGTATTCGAAACGCAGCAAGACGAGCACCAATTTTGTGAGATATTGTTATAGAGCATTGACATCATAACCGACAAAGATGACTATGGGGTAACGGACTCATGGGTTGAGTCACTCAGACACAGATCGAGCTGTGTGTCTGAGTGAGTCCGAGTTTTGATGAGTTGGAGTGCGAGTGAGTACAATTGAAGAACATTTTCGTGAATATGAGTCCGGCTCAGAAACATTTCGGTGAGTCTGACTCTATGTGAGTCTTAAGTGCAAAATATATTTCATGAGTGAGTCTTAGCTCCACAAGTTATGCCGACCTATGCGTACAATAACTGGCTGCAGTGGACCAACGTGATACACACTTGGCTTGGAATCGCTAGATGAATCATTTGTTCAACTTGCCCAGTAAGTGTACAAACCCAATGAGCCAGTTTCCTAGCTCATAAGTGCTGTCCAAGAGTAAAAACCGACAAACAAAGCGTGTGCACGCTACGATACAACAGCGTGGGCAGAAATGGCAACTTGAAGCCCCAGCCCTTAGTCGTGCGCACACACTAGTGTTCAAGCGTATCCATCGTCCTTGACACGTACACAGCTCGGTAAGCGACAATTAGGGCGGTAGAACACACTCAAGACATCCCATTTATATTGCCGCGAGCGGATCTATAGGATCTACTTGCTTGTGGGATCCAGGAGCGAGAACGCACTGCGGGCGACTCAGAGTATGGAAAGAAATCAGAAGCAGACAATACTAAGAAGACGTTCTCAAATACTTAAATGGCATACAGAAAAATCAGTGTTGGTTCGACGCAACGATACCGTGGATTGGCCCAGGCTATGCAAAACAGTCGACATCCAAAGGCTACTCTAGAAAGAAACGCACCGAACGGCAACCCAACACTTTGCAAACACTACACAAACTATTTCGACGGTGACATAACACTTCACCAAGGATAGCTGGACAGCATGAAGTACACACGCGGATGTCCCTCGTCTCGTCTATTCCAAAAGCAGATAACCGGCTGCCACCAACATCACCTGCAACGGAAACGATAATGTTGCCCTACCAGGAAGAGCGCAACACTTGTACGCTACCTACAAGTACATTCACGAAGAGTACGGTGATTGAGACAAACTACGCCGCAAATCCCTAAGACACAAAGTGCAATGAGAACATATACATGCATAGTGTATAGTATGTGTAGCCACTGCAGCAATACCTTTCGAATACGGTGCACGGTATGCTTGGAATCCTGGTCTGTTTCTTTCCTTATAGGTTAGCCCTATGTGGCTAAACAGAAACAAATGGCAAAATGAGAGGGCTAAAAAAGAGTAAGAAGGCACACCTAAAACGTGGCAGAACATCCAAGGAAAGTAGGCTGAAGATAGCGCTGAGGAGGGTTGAATCGTCGACATTTGGATTCCGGCTTGAATTGACGCATGCTCCAAATACCTAAGCCGTTAAAATATGGGCCCTCTAAGAGGCAAAATAAAATAAAGCCACATTTCTGGCGCTAGAACACGAATGAAATCATAACGGCGAGACCAAGATATGGTGCGCTCTCCCTAGGGCTGGAACGCCCTTATTACGCCGCACTTTGCGAGAGAATGATAAAGCGCCTATACGATGTCGACTGATGTCAGGCGGCAAAAGACAGCACGCATAATGAATTTTCATGAACCACACTCGGGGGAGCTCTTCCTATATGTGTGGAAGAAGAGCCAAACCAGAGAGAGAAAAAAATCGCTCGCTGCCTATTGTTAAATACCCGATCACGCAGGCACGACAAATATATATATATATATATATCATATTGTTAAACCACATAGAAACTTTATACACTAATCGCCAAGTCGTGTAACAACCGAAGCTGTGGTGAACTGACGCTGGCTTTTAAGCATGTGTAGACTGAACATTTCGAGCATGTCGAACGTTATTATGATCACGGATATTCAAGAGCAAATTCCGTTTTGCGCAACAAAATTCATCTCGCGCAAGTTGTGATGCCTGAGAAACATATGTAGAGTATGTGGTGCGGACTTTCCTAGCTTTGATCACCTCCAACTAAACTGTTTACAATATTTACAATAGCGTATGGCTCTCCTGGCGCCACGATTCAGAGAAAATGAGATATAGCCAGAGGAATAAGAACAAGACAAGCGCTACACGAAAAACTATAATTCATGTTAGCGCAGTACAATGTGTAGTAGCTGTGCCCTTCCATAAACAATTGCAAAACTTTCTCAAAAGGCATTTTGAGGACAAGTTACAAACAACCCATTTGCTGTAGCCACGCAAGATCAATGACTTGAGTAACTTCGTCATAACTGCACAAGGCGGCCAACCTGGACACTACGTAAAAGAACAGCGCAAAAAAGAACGGACGAACACAGAGAGCAACAGCGCCGCACCCTAAAGATAGGGGCAAAGAGACGCGCTTGGGAGCAATACGTGTGTGTGTGCTTGTGAGTGCACGTGAGAGAGAGAGAGAGAGAGAGGGTGTGTGTGTGTGTGTGTGTGTGCGTGCGTGCGTGCGTGTGTGTACACGCACGCACACTAGTCACTACGTCTGCTCGAATGTTACTGCCTACTGCCAGGACAGTGTACCGGACGCGGCAGATTGGCTGCAACGTGTGTGAAGGAGGTCAGCAACAGTGAGCCCTCATCCGACGAGCTCAGCGCCGCTGCGAGATGCGGTCCCTTTAGGAATAGCGCTAATCAAACCAGCACCTCCACCCTGGCAATTGCACCCGCGCGGGCTAGACAATCCGGCGAAGTTCCCGCTCATCCGAGTGGAGCTGTTGGAAGGTCATGCTCATACCTGCTATTTATTTTATCGAACAAGCCCTCTTCCAGGCGTGTGCCAACGGTAAATTTCGAGTCGTTCGCTTTTGTGCAAGCTTAAACAAGAACATCTTGCACCACTCTGACCTTCCGCTCGGACAAGACTGTCAAAACGCGGGTGCTGCTGGACACGAGCATCGGTAGAACGAGCACAAAAAGCTCCCACAGGGCAGGCGCCTAAATAGAGGTTCCTGTGCCCGCGGTAGAGAACGAAACAGGCAGGACTAGTTACCCCGGCTTCCAGTTGGCGCAAAGAAGAAGAAGAAAAAAAAAAAAACAATCCAGCGCCATCTGAGTAAAGGCGCAACGTCGCCTCGCAAAGCGTACGAGTCAGAGCAGAGAAAAAGGGTAGGAGTGAATTACCGTGACAAGCGAGATGCACGTCGGGCATCCTTTTATGCGAGGAGCAACTACACACTATCGCACGTGCTCGGTGCTACAAGATTTGTCATTCGGGTGCCCGCCCCTGAGGGACTTATATATACAAAAAAAAAAACTAATTCCTAACGTCCCATAGGCGCGCGTTTATGGCCCGAGCAACGACGATGGAGCGCAACACAAATCGAGTCAACGGAGCCGCGACCCCGCAAAGGGCCCCAGAACAACCACGCGCGCACTCGATCCACCCGCCTCTTGTCAGTAAATCTCAAGGAAAATGGGGAGGTGGTGTGTAGGTACACGACCAAGGCACGCCCTTTGTAGCAGCGCAGACACATGAAAGGAAACCGGCGAAGCAAACCAACACCACCTAGACTATGTCAGTAGTCTAGGAGCAAACTCGCTGTGGTACATGACCACGCGCGTGCTGCACGTGTGACACATACAGCTCCTCTCCTCCACCTAGCGCGGCACAGCCTTGCGAAACTACGTGGCAAAGCCCAACACTGCCTCGCGTGGCGATTGTAGTTTTGGACCTGGAAAGAGTCATTTTCCTGAACAGAGCTGATTGCATGTCATGAAATTGGCGCGGCGATTTAGTAGGGTGTTCTTCCGCATGCTCTGCACAGACTTGGGAGGAGGCTTTTTTTTTTTTTTTTTGGTCTAAATAAACGCAAGTTGTTAGTAATCACCTCTGTGTTCACTGCCTCTGCCTCTCAGTTCTTCCCTTTTCAAAGTTTTAGTAGTTTTCTTCGCGTTCTAGTATGTAGCAACTTACTCATCAAGCAACACTCGATTCTTCTAAAGCACAATATTGCTCTAGCGAAGCATGACAGACTGGAGCGTAAAACCAGGTTTCCGTTGAGACTGGGAGTTTGTGCGTGCTACCCGCGCACTGTCCGGCCATTCCGTCCACCCAGAGCCTGTAAAGAGACACGAGGGAAGCTCGCTGCTTTTCGTATCGCCGCGAACCACAGCCTTCGAAACAGAGCGACGCCGGATACAAGAGGACTGCGCGCACTTCTTGCTTTTTTTTTTTTCCGCGCTTTTACCTGTCAATGCGGAAACAGCAAAGCCCCCCCCTCCATAAATCAATCAGCGCTATTCGCGAGGGCTTTTAGGCAAAGGCTCCAATTAGTTAACCGTGCGCTCACGATTGTCACGGTAGTCTAGAGAGCTCCGAACTTTTCAGGAAGAGGTGGGGAAGGATGATTCGAGCGCGCGCGAAAGACAGGAGGGGAGGTCGGCCTCAAAACGTAAAGAAGCCCAGGATGGTGATTTCCAACAGGCCGCTCGGTGTGCGGAGACCGACTGTTAGATGGCGCAGTGACCCTGACAAATGGGCGAGCGCCTTTGATCGAAGAATGCGCGCTCCCAAGTTTTCGAAGCGTCTAGAGGAGCCGCACGCGTGACTCGAAGTGCTCGGGGGGCGACA